AAGGTGGCATAATTTATCAGAATCTTTTTTAATGCTATTCTTATCTTCTAAATGCAAAGTAGCAGAAAGCCACTCAATTGCAGGATGCAACACCAAAAGTCTTTGCCAGGATTTGTAGGTGGAGTTCTACCTAGGTCCATATTGATTCACTGACAATTACTTCACTAATAGCTCATTTAGATAACATCACGCTATGTAAAATTTAGTAAAAATATATACCTGCAATTAATGAAATACTTAACTCTAACCCTATATAATGTTAGCTAAATGATCGTTCAGTGAAATGATTGTTGATAAATTAAAAGGATCTTGTTCTATCTAGTTTTTATATCACTAATATTACGTAAAATTCTAAATTTTTTTTAATTATTTCTGATTTATCATTTTTATCAATTTTTACATTAGATAGAGAGTTTTATGCAAATCATTAGAATTATGTAATTGAAAAGAGGTCAAAGTAATCTTGCTACGCTAAGCTAATTTAATTTGTGCTTGGTCCAAATACTGACTTTGTTTTGATGATTTGAAAAATTTAATAAGGTTATTAATTTTTCTGGTATATAGTTTGATAATTTTTATAGCATAAATAACTGTAAGTTGAAGAGTGTAGGCTAAGCAAAGAATACGTTCTACACCATTCCAAATCCTAATGGTCTTTTTTATATTAGCTCTGTTGTCTGTAATAATACAAACTATTTTTTCAGCCAACCCAAACTCATTAATTTTTTGTTTCAGATATTTTTGAATTCTTTACTAGTTTAGATTATTTTTTTAAAAAAAAGGGTTAAAAAATTTTTTTTAAAAAAGAATTAAATCAAATATAGCTGACACCTTCTATTTGGCACTGTGGATTATTTGGCATGACAAGTAGATATTTACTACAACTTATATTAAATATTTTTTTGTTACAGCAAATAGTTGTTATATTTCAGACTAATTAAAATTATAGTTATTAATAAAGTGCCTTATAGCACCTCAAGATATTATCTGCGGGTTAAGAGAGAAAAAAAAATTATAGTCATGATTACAAACCTTATATATGGGTGGTTTAATTTTTCAATAGCTAATATAAAATCATGAATCTCAAAGTCTTGTGTTAGCCAGTGAATAGTTAAGCTAATATATCCTTTATTTTTTCGAGATATCTATAAATCTATAGTAAGCGAAGCAGTTTCACAGGTAATTTGAAGTAATGTTTTCAATTCTGATATATTTTTTCTATAAGCAATAGTAAGGTCTTTTCTAATATTTTTACTATTTGGTGGTATAAATGCAGGGTTAATTCTATTTATCATTTTTTTATATCTGACTCCATTAATAGTATTGAAGAGTAAAGAGTCTGTAATTAACCACTCAGCCATAGCTCTTCTTAATTCCACTTGTATAGCATCTTTATGAGGAGTTAGTTTTCTAATCATTTTGTCAATATGTAATTGACATTTTTTGCTTAGATTTGTTATAAGTTCATCTGGCTCTAAAATTCTATGCTTTGTTCGAAGGTGGAGTTTCATATTACCAGTTCCACCATCATGCTTGTAATTTGTTCCACACTCAACCTCTTTACCATTTTTGAGTACAAATATTTTACAAATAGTATGTCCATTTTCAACCTGAAAATATTTTCAGACGTAACTTGGATTTTTGACAGCTTGATTATCAAAATTTATTTTGATTTTTTTTGTGCTATGTTCTTTGACAGGATCGTTGGTAGTTATTCTCCTAGTTGCAGCTCTAGAAAGTTTGTTATTACTATCTTGAGGATCAGGATTAGTATTAAAGTTAATATAAGAGTCTGTGTAAGGGCTGCAAGGATCAATACAAGAGTCAGTACAAGGGTCAGTACAAGAGTCAGTATAAGGGTCAGTATAAGGGTTAGTATAAGGGTCAGTATATTCATTATTAATATCCATAGTTAGAAAAGATAGAGGAAAAATTTTATTGTTTTATTTTCGTATTTATATATATAAGCTTTACGCTTGCGTAGAGCAAAACTTGAATTGAGTGTTAAATGATAAGTATGATCAATTTTATTATAGTTTATTTGCAGAATATTTTTTACATAGCAAGAGACAAACTTACAACTTTTTATAAAGATTTTAAGACTTTATATAAGATAAATCGTTATTTAAAAATTACACAAACATTATAGTAAAAAATAACTATACAATTATTGTTTGATAGTTTGTTTCATATACAGTATTTAATGCCCTTTAGTAAATTTTTTTTCTTTGTATACTACTGTGAATTTAACAAAAATTTATTATAGCATTCGGTAAGCTTTAGTATTTTTTTCTCTTTGCATATATCTTTTGGAACTTTAGCAATTTTTCTTATATTATATATATTTAATATCAAAATAGTAATTTATTTTTTTAATTTAGTAATAATTTTTGCTTTAGCATTTTAGAGATTTTGTTTTACCATTTTAGCATTTTGCTGTAGTAGGTTATTCCTATAAGTAGATAGAATTTACGCATATTTTTCTTTAGTGTTAGTAACAGTTTGTTTTTATTTTTGGTATTTAAGTTTCACAAAATGACTTAAAATACTAAAATACCAAAAGGCTATAACACTTAATTACTAAAACAAAATAAAATATTACAGCAAACTTGTAACGAACTAATACTAATGGCTTTGAAAAAAAGGTAAATTATTATTTTAAGTTTAGTCACTATATAGTAAACTAAAGGTAAATATATACTTATATATGAATATAAATTTTATTCTTTTTATAGAATAGGTTATGCTAAAATGCAAAAGATTCAATCCAGTATATATATACATATGTACTATGTACATATATTTGTATTTTTTTGAATCCTTTTTTAGTATAGTTTAATTTTAAAGTAGTGAATTATGCAAGATATGTGTTTATACATAGTTAATATAGATTAAGTCACAATCTTATATGCATGCTATATAGTTGAGTAACATTCTTTATAACAATATTAAGTCTGCTTAGTAATTTTATTTAAGATAGTGTTAGGTTTGAGTGATCAAATAATTTAACAAAATAATCAGTACGTGCATATTTTGTTCAATGCAATAAGGATATCTAATAAATAATATAGTTATTTGGTTTAAATTGACTTAAATGTAGATTTTAAGAAATATAAAAAAGAGTGTTTTAATGTGAATAGTTATTGTCGAAATCATGCACAAGTATTATGGTTAATTGAAATAACTCATGATATCATGAAATATGAAATAAACAATCAGCACAACTCTATAATAAAGAAAGTAGTTTTGACTTTCTTTTTTTTTTATTGTGATAATGAACTTGACTGGATGAACTATTATTTACTATATAGCTATAATTAAAAATTCAGCTCCAATTTATTAGTTTAGACACTTGGAATATCCTGAGTATTTAAAAAATTTAAAATTACAAAATTTAGTTTTATCGATTATAGTTATCTAAATGATTATCTAATTATACTTACCTAGATAATTACTTGGTTATACTTATCTAAATGATTATCCAAATATATTTATCTAAATTGTTATCTGTAGATTACCTGTATATATTTATTCGAGTTGCTGTGATTACAACCTAGATATCTGATTACCTACAGATAACTGGATAATATCTGATCTGGGTACAAACTCTAAAGCAAAGTTCATTCAGAACTCATTTAAAATAATAAAAGAAATATTTAAAAGTATTATATAAATAATAATCAAATATTAAAAATAATTAAAAAGTACTACAAGCACAAAAGAAAAAAGTTTTTAGTGTAGCAAAATCTAAAACAAAGCAAGCAAAAGTATAAAAAAAACAGAAAAATCAAAGAATGACTATGATAAGAATTTTTCTTTATATTAATATACTGTCTATATAATTATCAGTACAATATTAAATATATTTTTTAAAAAATAAACAAAAAAAAAAAGTTTGTCTACCTGCAGCAAACAAGTAGTAAACATCTAGCAAATTTTTTTCTCACTAATATTTCAGAGTAACAAGCTCTAAACAATATAAAAAAAATAATCAATAAAATAAATATTATAGTAATAAAATATCTAAAACAAATGATAAACTTGCTGAAAAAAATAAAAAACAATTCAATATCAATTTAATAATGACTAACATAACTATGTTGTAAAGATTATAAAAAAAGAATGATGATTAAAAAAAGTAATTAGTATAATAAATAATCTATATCTATATAGATATCAGTACTAATATACTTTATATATTTTTTAGTTAAGACAAATTTTGTTGCTATATAAAGATATTTCATTAATACAAAATCACAATAAACTAAAAAGAAATTAATAAGAAAGTAATGATCTTAAAAATTATTTTACACTACTAGCTAGAGCTCTCAATCAATATATTCTATACAACTATGATTTTGCTATTTCTTATAATTTTTTTAGTATAAATTTTCTTAGTGCTAGTAGCTCCAATATATATTTTAAGTCTAGTACTGCTAACTCTAATTCATATTTTGTATCTGTTTTTAATATATATTCTAGATCTAGTAATTTACTGTATATTCTGGATCTGGTCCTGTTATCTTGATATATATTTTGGATTTGATACTATTGTTCTTGTTACTAATGCTATCTCTGATACTAATACTACTTTTGATATTAATTAACTTTGTTACTTCTGATACTAACTGCTTTGCTGCTTCCGATACTAACTACTTTGCTACCTTTACAAAAATCAAACTAATACTTTAAAAATAATATTCTGCTATCCTAATACAATTTATAATAAAAGTTTCTTCAGCATCTATTCTACTATTATATCTGGTATAATTTTTAATATTTATAATGCAAATTATTTAAGATTTTTACTAAAATTTTTGTGATATTTTATTTATATAATCTTTGAAAAGATTACTAATAGCAATAATAATGATGATATTATTATAATAATAAATAAAAATAAAGGCAAAACTGTTAGTAATTATAAATCAAATAATATATTTGTTAATTTTATATAACTTGCTATATTTTTAATATATATTTAATTAATTTGTTATATCTTAATAATTATTTTATAACTTGAATTAAACAAAAATCTTAATATTTATCCTGTTAATACTATTAGATCTTCTAAACTATATTATAGCAAAAGTAATTTAGGTCAAAAAATATTTAAAAGTTCTAAATATAATATCAGAAAATATTTTTTTTAATATATTTAATTTATATTATATATTTATTTAGCTATTAATTACATATATATAATATTTGTAAAAGAAATAAAAATATTAAATAATAAAAATTTAAAATATTACCTTTTAATTATATATTAGAAATAAATG